TTGGCGGTATCAGGGTTATCACACAATTTCTTGGACAAGACCTCGCTGCCACAGAGAGTGTTGACAAAGGTGGTGCGGCCAGTATCAGAAGCCCCTAAAATAAGCGTTTTTTAACGTTCTTTATTATTAATGTTTAAACTTTGATGAAATTGATAGTGCGCGCAGCGAATTCTGATCGAAATTTATAAAACGCGTTTAACGAGGTATAACAAAAAGTGAATACCCACCAACTACCATAAGAGTAAACTGAAACCCTTTTTTGACATTTTTTCTACGTCCGCCTAATCTCTGTTGTCAAATATAAGATGTTTAATAAATAATGCCTTTCCTCATTGAACAATTTAAAAAAGTTAACCGAGATGACGCACATGAGCCATGTTTTAACTGAGAAGTTAAAAGCAAGTATTAAGATTTTGATTCAACCGGAGAAGCGACAGTTAGAGAAAGAGAACAGGTCTCCGAAGGAGTGGATGCGTTCAATAATGAAAGTAGAGGAACGCTAAGGAATGACCGGTTCGATATACAATGTATTGCTAAAGTGATGTTAAATGACCTTATGGAATTTTTTGAAAACAAGGAAATTTTTTTTGAGGCTTTTTTGTCCTAATTTCTATAATAAACAATAGATTATTAAATTCTTTTATTCTAATTTTTATAGTAAAAAATAAATAGACTAGATTTTTCCTTATAAAATTACCAGTAAATTAGACTCTTCCGTCTCAATTTTTATTGTCCTAAGTACCATTTTCATCTTTTCCGTTCATTACTTTAGTTATGCGTAATAAACTTGTTTGAAATATTGTGCATAAAAAAGTTAAAAAAAAAAAAAAGTTTAGTAATTCGCGCTATCAAAGAATCGATTTTTCCTTTGCTCTCGTTAAATCTCCTTTCCTCTACCCTACCTTATCTTTTCCCCGTTAAAAAAAACCATATTTTTTCTTTTTCTTACCTTATTCTTCCCCACTAAAAAAAATTATCTTTTACTTCACCCTTTTCTCGTCAAAAAAAAAAAAGTCTTTTCTTTCTTCCCGCTAAAAAACCCTTCCCTGTTAAAAAAAAAAAGTCTCTTTCTCTATCTTACCTTTTTTCGCTAAAAAAATATTTTTTCTTCTTTTTCCTCATTTTCGCCTCCATTTCTACCTTCTAGAGTTTATTATTCAAACAGACCATTCGTAATTCGATGTAATATAATTGTTCTAATTCTTTCTAATTCGATATTCGAATTAACATTGCTGAATTATTAAAATTGATTCGTATATTAAATTGTTTAAATTATTCGATTTAGATTCGTGGTAAGCTCTACTTTCTTTTCCCTATACGCTATAAATAAGATCGGAATAATGCAAAAAAAAAGACAAATAAAAGCGTTATATAGTACATGTATGAAGATCCTCATTGCTGATTGGATATTATAAAAAGTAAGTATAATATCCCCGGATCTTTTACATCAAATTTATGGTCAACGCCGACGCGTCTTAGACTTCATTTCAGTTAAGTTTAACTTATTTCTGCGATGCGTATGTTTGCAAACCCGGCATTTCCCTGGCTTGTAATTCCACTGGAGGTCTCCTCGCTTTGGTGTTGTTGGCGAAATGTTGTATTAGCTTTTAAAAGATATGTTAAGGTTCTGGCTTTCCCAGCCAGCATTTCCCTGGCCTGTAATTCCACTGGAGGTCTCCTCGCTTTGGTGTTGTTGGCGAAATGGATGCATTACGATTAATGTATCGACTTTACCATAACTGGAGAAAGTTGGGTTGAAAAGGATGTGTTATTTAATAATGATTAGAGAACCTCTTACTAATCTTTTTGCATCCTGTCATTTGTAGATGATGGCGGTATTTACCATTGTTATATATTTTCATTTATCGTGCTGAATTAGTTTACAGTATTAATTATTATTCCACATTAATGTACAGGATCACGTTGATGTACTAAAAGAAGTTATTTCACTAGGTTTTACAGCCAGTAAATTTTTTAAGAAGATTGGATATCAATTTTCTCAGAAGGATACAGCAGAAGGTGATTTGCGGGAGGCATTTAAAAAACTTGCTTCAATGAAAGATGAACACTCACGGAAGGCAGAAAGCTTTTTAAATACGATTGATGAACATATGAGCTCTTCTAGTGTCGTACAGTATTGGAACAGTGTTCAGATACAAAACGAACGAGACAAAACCTACACTAGTCAATTAGTTTTGGAAGAACAAAAGGTTAGTATCTATACTTGTATTGTAAGTTATAATTACTATTTTTGCTAATTGTGAATTATTCAGAAACAACACATAGTTCTTATCGATTCTAATGTTATAACCGAGCATAACAACTCAAGTAATAAATTAACGTTGGAATCATCTGAATTGTCAAAATTAAAGGTTAGTTAATGTGATAATATGACAGAGCAATTCTTGAGCTTGTCTTCTTTTTTTCACTTATTCTGATGCAAATACTATTATATGTAACATTACCAAAGTCATTGAATAATTTTCAAACTTTATGAACATCATCTAGGACGAGTCAGTCGTAGTTAGTGAGTCAATTCAAAGTAGTTATGATTTTAGAAAGAGACCAAACATAGATTATAATGAGGAGCGAATGTTAAAAAGGATTAATAATCAAGATGGACATACTACACCATCTCCACGCAGTCCAAAATTAGGAAATTTGCCAAAAGAATCTCTAATAGATAATCCGTTTCTTGAAGAGGAAGATGATATTATAGCAATCAATGATGTTCCAGATGAATTATATTTTGTGGACGGAAATCTAGCAGACGATTTTAAGATAGGAGAGGACAATGTGTCTCAGTTATTTCGACAGTATCAAAATGAGTCGATAAGGATTGCAAAGACTGAATGTTTGTTGGTTGAATCGAACGTACACGAAATACTGTCACTTTCGTCGATTTTTTTACTCACTCCAAATTCACATTCAAAAATAATGATCAATATATTTGGTTCTCCTTTACTCGATGAAATCCATCAACAATTCATTCCAACACAACAAACAGAATTAGACTCAGGATGTGAATCGAAGTTTAGAGAAGCAATTAAGCGAGCGACAAAAGAATCATGTGGCAGTGCAACAAAATGGTTGTTGACGGAACTTGCAAACAATCAAACTTTAGATGAGAACTTGGGTTTCGTGAATGTGTAAAATTGCTACCTATTGCCAAGATTAAAAACGAACCTAGTGAAATGACATTTATCACAAATTATCTAGACCATATCATGAAATGATCCGAACAAGCATATTGTTGAATGGCCCAACACGAGTCTTGACGAAAGCAAAGCAAGGAAATGGGAAGGAAGAAGCAAACAACCGGACTTTACAGTATCTGTTATCCATCAGCTACAGACAAGTGGCGTCATATTCGTGGGTGAAGTCCGTCCGCCTTCAGAAAAAACAATGTTTATAAGAATTGTAAGGACCTAATTCGCTTTGGTATTTTCATGAAGGACTGTCTGGATTCAGCTATAGACAAGGGTGCCGACTTGAAGTTGCTAGGTTTTCACTGCGTTGGTAAGATGAGCTATGATAATTTCCTTTCTCATAATTCTTTAAATAATTTCTTGAGTATTTGCTTCTATAGATTACAAAATCGACTTCTATATGATGGATCTCATTCAAGGAACATACGTCATGATTCATGTTGGTCAAATTTCAGTTCCAGCTTCAGTAAAAGAGATCTCAGCTCTATTTTCGTTTCCGGAAGTGCTTTTATGCATTTGTTGATTTGGTTTCTTTTTTCCAACTCTTCTCTCTTGTTTTCCAATTTTCCTCTCTCCTTTATTTCTTTCGTTATGTTTAATGCTTTATTTAGTTTTCTGAATGCTGTGAATTGTGCTGTTTTTATTTTTTTACTGAAAGCTTGTATATCTGTTCTATGGATCTTTTTTGGGATAACTCTTTCTGCTGCTTCTTTCCATTGCTCTTTCAGCTCTTTCCATTTGTTGTTTGCTTCCTTCCTTTCTCATCTGTTTCCTTTCCTTTCTGATTGGCTCTTATTCTTATTATTCTCCTTCACTTGTTCTATTTTCTTTCTTTATTCTTTCCATTTTTCTTCATTCATCTGTTTATAGTTATATACTTTCCTTTCATTTGTTGTTTTTATTTTTTTGATTTCTTTTGTGATTGTGCATAAATCGATTTTTGCTGAAACTACTTTATGGTCTGTATTTAGTGGATGCCTTGTGTTCTCTATAGTTGCACCTTTATATGATTTTTTCATGTCTTCTGAGAGTCATATCATGTTTATTCTACTTTGTGTTTCATTGTCCCATATAAAATCTATTGTGTTTCTGTTATGTTGTCTATGCATGTCATAAAGTTCAAAATCTTTAAGCATTTTGATTCATTCTTTTTTTCCTTTTGGTTCTTTTCCTCCCATTCTATTCAAGTTGTCTTTGATTATTTTATTCCTATCTTCCATGACAATTATACCTATTATCTGTTTTTTCTTCCATTCATTTATGATTCTTCTTATTTCTATCATTATCTCTTTCCTTTCTTGGTCCAGTTGTAGTGACACATATACCTGTATTATTTCTATGCTATGTTTTTCTTTGAATATTAGTTCTATTGCCAGGATTCTCCCTTGCCATCTTGTTATTTTCCCTATATGTTGCGCCCAGTCTCTTTGTACTATTAAGCCTACCCCTCCTGCTTGTTTTTCAGTATATATCCAAAATGTCTTATATTTGTTTTCACCTATGATTTTTTTGTTTGTCATTTTTTTAAATTTAGTATCTGAAATTCCTATTACCATTGTGTTGTTCTGGTAGTAGTGATATTACAGTTGTTATTTTTTGAACTCTTCATTTAATCCATTTATATTTATTGTTGTAATTTTAAAATTATCCATATTTATTCTTTTTTCTTTATATATATTGATATTTTTGATGTTTTTCTTTTTTTCTTGTTGTTCTATCATATTTAGTTGTTTTTGTTTTAGTATCTTTCTTTTCTATTGCCTCTGTGGCTGTTGTCTCTTTTTAGTAATTGCAGACTAACCATTTTCCAATAATTTACTTAACATTCTTCCTATATGCTTTATTTGTTCTTCTAACTTGTTCTTTCTCTTAGCTACTTTATTATTGATTACCTTATATATTGTCAAAGGGATTTCATTCTCTTCATGTTCATTTCTTCTGCATCCTAATATTGTGCTTATTATTCCTTTTTTTTTTTATTTCTATTTTCTTCTTCATTCTGTTTTTCTTGTGATACCTTTTATCAGTTTCATAAAGTATTGATTTTTTTTTCCATATTCTTGATCTTCTTTTTTAGGTTACTTAGTTGTTCTTCTATCTCTTCCTGTTTTTCTTCTTCCTTCTTCTTATATATTGATCTGGATTTATTTCGTTTTCTTAAAATTTCTGCGAAAGAAATGGATACTTTTTTCTCTGGCCTTTTTCTAAATCTGGATTGAATTGATACAAATCTGGCTTGTGCTATCACTTTGTCTCTTTGTATTTTCACTTCATCATATTGAAAAGCTCTATATTTACTTTGTCCACATTTATAGCATAGATTCTTATATTGGTTCACAAAATTAATTGTCATTCTACCCAATTTGAAGGTTTGTTGTTCTGTTGCTTTTAATTGGTCCTCTATTTCAAAAGCAACTTATGCAAATCTTTCCCTAAAATATCTGTTGTTTGTTCTTAGAATGTACAAGATTTTTCTACTTGTTTTCCTTGCGATTCCTCTAAGTCATATGCCATGGTACCTGCTGGCAAACTTGTTAGTTTCAATATATATCTTGATTTTTTTACAAGTTCTTCCTTTTCTTTCTATTTTGAGAGTATTTTTAGATAATCTTTCTTAAAAGGGATTAACCACAGGCTGGTCAAAAGTTGTATATTTTTTTCTTCTTTGTAGATAACTATTGCTGTCTACCATATTTCTACTGATCGGATATTTACTGTATATATATCTCCAAACTTTCTCAGGACTGTTTTGATTGCCCCTTCGCCAGCTGACATAAGGATATTCCTAACTATCACTATGTTTCTTTTTCCTGATTAATGTTCTCTAAGTTCTACTGGGGATTAGATATTCCTTATTATTATCTGTATCAAAGTTAATCTCATATGCCTCCTGCATATCTATGAAATTCTCAAAATTGGCAAGGATCTTCTTTTCTTTCCCACTGCTTCTCTTCCAACTCTAATACCCAAGAAGGTGTTAAAAGCTATACAAGTTTCTTCTATTATGTCTGCCATTGCTATTGATTCCATATCTGCTGATATATTCAGTTCGCATATATATCTTGATTTCCTTTCCACATCTTTAAACTTCCTTTCCATTATTTGTTCTTCTTCGCTTTTCTCTTTATATGATCCTTTTTTTTTCGTTCTAATATCTGATCCTATACTTCTAGTGTTTTTTTTTACCTTTTCTTGCTTTTTCTTTTCAATTTCCATTTCTTGTTCTTCATACTTCTCTGTTGGTTTCTCTTTTTCACTAGTTTCTTTTGCTTTTTCCTTGTCCATATCCATACTTGTTACACATATTGGTGTTCTTTTTCTTTCTTCCTTGTCTAGGCATTTGAGTCTACCTGGTTCTTTCTTATTGATGGCAATTACTTTCACTCTTGTTTTTCTGATTGCATTAATAGTTATCTTTTCTGTCCCTCTTTCTCTGCCTATACTTGATGTTGATGCTTAAGTAACTTCCATTGTACCTTTCACTTTCTTGTCACTTTCTTTTAAAATTTCTTAAAAAGGTATTTTTTTTTAATTTTCAACTGTGTAGGAAAGAGTTTACTGATATTATTTAATTAACTGTATTGATTAAAGATTTTTCAATACAGATTAAATAATTATTATAAGCAAACTAGTATTTAACTTATAGTAAATACATGAGAAGTGTTGATTCTTTTAGAAAATTTATTATATAATATACAAATAAATAAAGATATGGAAAGTTTACTTATTTTTTTTATTTGTTTTTTTTTATTAAATTTTTATTATAAAAAAATATTAAAAAGATATCAAATTTTAATTTATAAAATATATTGTAAACAAAAATATTATAAAAATAATACAAGTTATAAAAAGATTTTTAAATACTTTTTTATATGACTATTTTAATTGCAATAATTAATAAATTGTCAATTTATTATTATATATTGTTAAATATATAGTGTATTAAGAAATTATTAACAAAAAAAATTAAATTATCATAAATTCATCAGATTTTAGTGAAATTAAATAAACATTTTTTTATTAAAAAGATAATAAATGGCATGTCATTTTTTATTTATAAGCTTATAAAATATTTTTAAGGAACTTTATAAATTTTTTTTTGTTAAAATGGCAAGATCCATAATGAAAATTCAATGAGAAAATCATATTACATTATTGAAACATAGGAGTTTGAACTGTCAAAGAAATTTACAAAATAATTAAGATTCTGTTACAAACTTCTATAATAACCTAAAAAAATTAGAAAGTTGAGAATATGAATCATAAAAAAGGTATGGGTTGACCCCCAAAAAATTATTTTTATGGTTGCTAGACAAATTGGTCAAATTATTCGCAGAGATTTTATTATTTCATTGTGCTTTTTAAAAACCAAATTAAAAAATAATGGCATAAATATCTCATATGTTACAATCAGAACATATCTGAAAAATCTTGGTTATAAGAAAAAATTATTGAAAGATACTTCCATGTTAATTGAAGTTTATAAAGAATATCGAATAGAATGGGCAAAAAAATATTTAGAAAACAATTGATATAATATTGTATTTATGGATAAAACAATATTCCAGCTCTTTCGAAATACTGTTAAACATTGATATAAGGGAGCAAGGCCTGTACAATGGATTTTCAAAAATCAAACCAAAATATTTGCATGGGGTGGTTTTTCTAAAAAGGATAAGACTAGTCTTTTTTGTTTTACAAATATTATAAATGCTAAGTTTTACATAAACATCTTAGAAAATCATGGTTAAAGAGATTGTAAAAAGGCAATGGAGATATCAGTAGAATAATAATCATAAGCATACAAGCCATCTTGTTTAATCATTTTTCAATAATCATATTTTCAAACTTTTGGATTGGCCAGCAAACAGTCCAAATCTAAATCCCATTAAAAATCTTTAAAATATTGTTAAGAGAAATGTTGAAAAAAGAATACAAAGAATCAAACAGAATTAAAAGATTTTATGATCAAGGAATGGAATTCTATTTCAAATAGTATATTAAAGAATTTAATAAGTTCAATAAGATGAAGATGCAAATTAGTAATAGAGAATAATGAAGAAAGAATATCATATTAAAATTTTTTTAATAAATTTCTTACCTATAGGTTATTAAATAAAGTATTTTTAATGTAATTTGCTTTTGCCATTATTGCATAATAATCAATTACATAATTGCCAATAATTTCTTAACACACTGTACAACGAAAAAAAAACAAAATAAAATGATTAATGTAGATTAATATACAGTATAATAAAAATGATATACAGTATATAAATTATCATAATGAATTTTATTAAAAATCATTAAAAAAGTTAACATTTGCGTTTTTAGTTTTATTATATACAGTATACTCTGGAAGTTAAATAACGACAAAAAATTTTGAAAACGCATCATGCAAATCGGTTCATAAAAGGAGTTGTCTACTGAGAGTTTCATATTATTTATTTTTATCGGTTTTACAAACTTGATACAAACGAAAATATAAAACAATGTAGATAAATTTGCCATATGCGGCAGTTTCATAAAGGTGAAAGAAATTTATAGTTATCTTAGTTTTCTTAAAGTAAATAATTCGATTTTTCGCAAGGAACAAAAAGAAGATTTCAAGGAACAAAAAGAAGATTTCGATTTTTCGCAAGGAACAAAAAGAAGATTTCGATTTTTCACAAGGTACAAAAGAATAAGATAATTTAAGCGAATTTTAGATTCGTTATTTTAATCACGATTCGACGTGCTTTTTTAAAGGATTTTTTCGCGGTTGTGAAATTAGTCATATCTCGATGCGATATGCTAATTCCGGGTTTCGATGCAACTCGATTTCCACCGGAATTCTCGATCTCACGTAAAACTTCGGGATTGTGTACCGAAAGATAATAGATGCGTATTTTGCTGAAGCAATTGAACCGGATCATTAGGAAGATTCGGCACGCACTTTGAGACGGAGGAGAAAGTTGATAAATCTGACTTCCTTAGCATTCAGAATAGATCAACGAAGTTCGTTAAAGTTGAAATTCAGAGTTTAGATGTGAATCAATAAAAGGA